AGCCATCATGATCTCATCTTACTCAAATGGTGTCAGGAGGCATAAGAAAGTAGAAGGCTCAACCAAGGGGGAATGGGCACGTGGCATATTGTGTCAGATCAGAGACAAAAAGACCAGAATGCCCTTGTTGACACACGACTTGAAAAAGTAAGTATTTAATGCACCCTTCCTTTGATGAGACAACATTTAATGCACGAGAACTTGGAAGTGAAAGGTAATAAATGTCCCAAAGCCTGGACATTTAATACACCCCCGCCAAGGGAAGGTCATTAAACGTTCTGCAGACCAAGGAGAAAGTATTAGTTGCTCGGGGTCCCGAGCAGTTAAGAATAAGAACATTACTCATAGAAATTGGTGTGCACACTGCCCACCTCTAATGATTACCTACTAGTTACGCTGTCAGCAATGATGAGTTTTTAAGGTATAAATAGTCCTCACAAACACGTAAAAGAGGTACGCAAAAAACCCTTTCTCAAGCATCATACAGTGTTTTCTTCTTCTCCTCTCTCAAGGAACTGACTTGATCATCGGAGGGGATACACCGAAAAACACTCTGGCGCCCTTCTTATCTGTTTTTCTTTGTTCTAGGAGTCTCTCAAGATCATTTAGGCGACTCATAAAAATGATTCATTATCCCTCCTTAGGCCACCTTCAGCCCTCACAACCGGTCCCAAGTAGCAAGATTGACCACTCGATCGACGGACACGTGTTCATTACGAAAGAGATCTGTTCTTGTGTTTATATTGTGCAAGATCGTGCACGCACAGAAATGTATGTAATCACTATTCTTTTCCATTTTGAATGAAATGGCCGTTTTTGGATTCTGCATATCTCCCTTTCCCCTGCTCGAAGGAGGTCTTAACTTGGTTGGAGCATTATTTTTGTTGATTATGCCGAATTTGTGGGTTGAATTCCCAAACTTTATCTTGTTATTTGCTGTGGGTTGGAGATCCCGAGCTCCTCATGTGACGATCGAATCTCGACTCGAAATTGATTAAATAATTAAATTTTTTTTATGGGTCTCATGATATTGTTGAAAATTATGTGAGCGTGATTTGAGGTCAAATTATATGTTAAAATTTAATTATGAAAGATTTGATTATTTTAAAATTTTATTGAGAACGAAATTTTATCGAGTAAGGTAAGAGAATAAAATATAAAAAAACAATAGAATTAAAACATGTAGTGACATGTGTTCACCATGGAAGGCGACACATGTCACCAAACATGCATAAGTCTTGGAGCCCAAGGTTCTTTTGTTGATAAAATCAGTCCATTGTGTTCAAACCGTAGCAAGGAGGTGGAAAAAAAAAAGATAAAGGAAGAAAAAAAATTAGAAGATAAGAATGGTGAGGGGGCGGTTATGACTCATGTAATGAAAGTGTGTGCTATCTTGTAGAGAGAATGTTAGAGCAAATATTGTGTGTGCTTTGGAAAGAGCAAGTGGATAGAAAATTAAAGAAAAAAAATGAAAGTTTTGAAAATGAGAAGTTGTTGGCCAAAAAAAAGAAAAGGAGAAAGAGATCCAAACGGAGAGTTTCACAAGAGAATTGAATTGAGGTTTTCGATCCGTTTGAATGGAAGTTCAAGTATGATATTCTTGGGTATTAGATATTGATTCTTACTTAGAATTGTGTAAGTGATTTATACATGATATACATTCTTTTAATCTCTTTGCAAAGAGTATTTTATTGATATCATCATATTCATATTCAAATTGTGATATCATTTGGGTTTGAATTTAAAAATAATATGTCTATTAGTTGTTGATATTTCGATGTTCGGTTATAACTTTTGTTTGACTTGTCATTAATTGTTATGATGTTAACTTTGGTGTAATACTTGAGATTTTTTGACTCATGCATGAGGTATATTCGGTGGCATGGTTATGATTGTGATTCATGTTCGTGGACATGATTGAATTAAAATGCACCGAATGATGCCTAGCTTGTTGTCAGGATTGACCGAGAGTTTAATCAAGGTTGATTTGAATGTTCAAACGTTCGAGTTCGTTGACTTTTTTCAATATATTTGTACTTCGTAAATTATTGTATTAATTCTTGTGTCATCCAACGATTATCAATTAGTTGATAAATTATCGTCTCGCACTTTGACTTCGTATATTATGTTTTAAATTACTTACTAAGTTTTTTCCAGCTCACCCCCATTTACCCTCTCAATTGCAGGTTGAATTTGGATTAAAATTTGGTGGAAAATTGGGTTGATCAATGAATGAGAGATTTCAATTAGTTGTAATTTAAACAGTTATCGAGAGGTTATTTATTCATTTTTGAGGTAATTAGCACTCTGAATATTTATTTTAATTTAAATTTTTTACTTTAATTTTATATTTTTAAAAAAATTTTAAAAAATATAAATACTTATTTTATCGTTGTATTTATATATGAAATTAATATATACATAATATATATATATCAAATGATATATAGACAAATAAGATATATTTTAATACAAATAATTAATTTTTTATCCACTTTCTTTTAAATTTTAGAGGGATTGATTTTGATAAGTTAGAAGGAAAACTCATTCATGCACTTTTTCATCTTTTATATTTTTTTTCTTACCAAACATTATGTTTTATCTATCCCTCCAATTTTCTATTCTTTCAATTTTTCATCATTCTATTTTTTTAATGTACCAGACAGAGCATTAAATAAAATGTATTGTTTTTTATGATTAGATTTATCCTGTTTTAAATTTTTTTTTTTTTAAAGTCCCATAATATTTCCCACTGAAAACAAGGTAATCAACCTAAAAAGTACAACTAATATCAGAGTAGATACAAGTACGGGGGAATGTATAGTAAACTCTCTTACCGGGAGTGGACTACAGTACATCCATTGAGAATTTCGGTACCATACCGAACATCAAAGGGGACTAAAAACTGATTTTGTCACTGCAAAATGATGCAGAAATTAACACGTGTAAAGCAAAAAAGCAAGGCAACCGGATACCACAACAATGAGTGAGTTATATGAAATATTTACAATATTACATGCCAGATTTATAACAATAATGGGTACAATAACAAAGATAATGGTATTCTTACAAAGTGAGTGGAACCAAGTACAACGGCAATGGTGTATTTACGACATCAGTAGGAAATGTAAAAAATTAATGGGATAGGTACAAAAGTAAAGGTATATTTACAACAAAAGTGAAAAAATTTATGACTCCACAATAATAATGAGTGAGTTACAAATATTATGGAAGATTTACAATATTAGTTGCAAGATTTACAACAATAATGGGTACAATAACAAAGATAATAGTATTATTACAAAGTGAGTGGAAGCAAGTACAATGGCAATGGTGTATTTACGACATCAGTAAGAAATGTAAAAAAGTAATGGGATAGGTACAAATGTAAAGATATATTTACAACAAAAGTGGAAAAATTTATGAGTCCACAGCAATGAGTGAGTTACAAATATTATGGAATATTTACAATATTAATTGCAAGATTTACAACAATAATGAGTACAATAACAAAGAAAATAGTATTATTACAAAGTGAGTGGAACCAAGTACAATGACAATGGTGTATTTATGACATTAGTAAGAAATGTAAAAAAGTAATGGGATAGGTACAAAAGTAAAGGTATATTTACAACAAAAGTGGAAAAATTTATGACTCATAGTCAATGTAATGGATGATCGATTAATATAATATATGATCGATCGAATAAATGTATGATCGATCATTATGTGGAAAGGTGTTGTGTAAGAAAATGAAATTTTGGAAAGAAAGAAATAAAAATATAATTTGACCGATCACGAATATGAATGATCGATCATAGTGCTTCAATAAGGTGTTTTTGCTAAAAAACTGCGATGTTAATGATATTACTAGGTAAAAGTACAAAAATAATGGTATAATTACAACAAGATTGACAAATTTTGAAATTCAGTGGGATTGCGATCGATCAATTATGTATGATGATCGATCATGGAGGTAATGATGGAGAAGTTGAAGGGGAAGTGGTATTGCGATTAATCAATTATGTATGATGATCGATCATGGAGTTACTGATGGAGAAGTTGAAGGGGAAGTGGGATTGCGATCGATCAAGTATGTATAATGATCAATCATGGAGTTACTGATGGAGAAGTTTATGGTGCCAGTGGGATTACGATCGATCAATTATGTATATTGATCGATCATGTCATTAGTGATGGAGAAGATTATGGTGGTAGTGGGATTGCAATCGATCAATTATGTATAATTGATCGATCATTGAGTTACTGATGGAGAAGGTTATGGTGCCAGTAGGATTGCGATCGATCAATTATATATATTGATCGATCATGGCGTTAGTGATGGAGAAGGTTATGGTGGAAGTGGGACTGTGATCGATCAATTATGTATAATTGATCGATCATTGAGTTACTGATGGAGAAGTTGAAGTGGAAGTGGGATTGCGCTCGATCAATTATGTATAATGATCGATCAAGGAGTTACTAATGGAGAAGTTTAAGGAGCAACTGGGATTGCGATCGATCAAAAATAAATATGATAGATCAAAAGTTGATGTATTTACTTAAATGCCCACAAAGAGTAATAAATTTAAGTGTTGTAAGGGGGGCTTTGTAGTAAATAAACATCGGCTTACCCAAATAAATCCCCAAATCCCACAAAAATTACCCCTAAATCGCTCGCGCCTTCCATTCTCATTCAAATCCAACGAAACCCATTTCAAACTCATTCAAAATCCTACAAAATCCATTGAAAATCAATTCCAAATCCTACAAAACCTATTCAAAATCTCCCAGTTCCATAAACCCTAAATCGCCCACCACCCCAAATCTCTTTCATCGATTGATCAGGTACACAAACTACTTCGATCGATCAAACTATTTCCATTGTCAATCTTCCATTTTCAATTTTCATTCGGAGAAGAGTGAAAATTTTCATCGTGAATGTTCGTTGTGAATCTTTGTTGAAGAAGAGCGAAAGAACCACATTTGGAGTTGTGGTGATGTCGAGCAGAGAGGCGAAGAAATGGAAGAAGGTGGTTAGCGGGGGGAGTTCTAGCAATGCCAAACTCTTTGTGGATAAAGATGCTAAGAAGAGGTATGATTCATTCATTGTTAAACATCCTCTATTAATTGAGCGTGGTGTTTACCTTGATGAGCTAGTAGGGAGTGTGGATTCCCCTGAAATACTTCGGGCTCAGAAATGGAAACCTCTGTTTNTAAGAAGAGGTATGATTCATTCATTGTTAAACATCCTCTATTAATTGAGCGTGGTGTTTACCTTGATGAGCTAGTAGGGAGTGTGGATTCCCCTGAAATACTTCGGGCTCAGAAATGGAAACCTTTGTGTGATGTGAATGTGGATGATAAAGCATATGTTGAACTGGTTAAGTTTTTTTATGCAAATGTTCATGAGTACAATGAGAATGAGCTGACATTTAAGACACTGGTTAGGAAGAAATCCATCACTATTTCGCCTGATCTTATTTCAAATGTATTAAAAATTGATAGACCAGACATTCCTGAGAATTCCATTGTCTTTCCATATTCAAGTAAGGAGCAGGCTCCTGAAATGGCAACAGTTATTCAACATATTTGTATTAGGAGTGTCCCTTAGGAGAATGAGAAAAGTAAAATTGCTCACATTGACCTTACTCCAATGTATAGGATGATAACCATAATTGTTGCCTGTAATATACATCCGAGGGGGTATACTGCTGAGATTGGATACGATACGGCCAAACTATTATATGTTATTTCTGAACATGAGGTTATTATTGATCTACCCCTTTACATATTCAACCATGTTCGTGAAACATCTACTGTTGAGAATGGTAGGCCATGTCTTCCATTTCCAATATTAATTTCCAAGATTTTGAAGCATAGTGGGGTTGAATTTCAGCAGAATGACAATTTTATTTACCCCATGAATCCAAAGGGTATGGGTACACTTAATAAAAGTGTGGGAGCTATTCTGGGTGTGAAAAAGGGGCAAGTGCGTAAAGCAGGCAACAGCGGTGCCTCAGGTTGTGGGTAGTTAAGCTGGGACTAGTCAAGTTGGTTTTGATGCTGGCACTAGTGAGGGTCGACAAACACTTCAGCAAATGGTTGAAAAATTGGAGGCTCGATTTGAAAAGTTTGAAGATGAAATGAAAGGGTCGTTGCAGCGTCTGGAGTCAAAATTAGATTGTTTTTATAAAGACTTTAAAGAGTACATCAACAAATGACACATTGGTTTTGTGCTTTTTGTTTTTGTGAATCTTTTGTTTTTATAGTAATATTTGACATTTTGGCAAGGGTGTTGTAGATGTTGGGTGGATGGTTGTTAAATATATTGGCTAGTAGTTAGAAATGTTGCCATGTTGTAGCTAATTTTTTGGCCTCTATTGCTGTTCAGATGGGAGCATTTACTGAGTTATCTTCTCATAGAAGTCTGGCTGTGTCTGGCAGATTACTTCTTCATCAGAATCAGTTTGGACTGGGTACTACAAGGAAAATGAGACTTGTGGTTTGTGACCAAAGGCAAGAAGTTGGATGATGGAGGAAAGGTTAGAATGGTTGATGGAAGACTGGGCAGTTGATCTGATTGGTCTAGTATGTGTCTGGGGTGATAATGTGCTGAGCATGGGGTCTTGTTTGTGGTTGGAGGATAAGTTGCTTTGAGCCTTTTGAAGGATTAAAGCCAACTTTTGTGATGATTTATATTCTGGTAGACAGTGTGGGCAAGTTTTATGTCTGGGCAGTTGGTGTATAGAGCTGAGTCTTGGTTTTTTATCTGAACTGGATTGCATTGGTCTGTTTATGATGGATTTTGTATTTTCTGGTGGATTGATTTTGAAGATAGCTGCTGGGATGCTGACGTGGAGGGTTGGTCCTGGTCTTTATGCTTGGCTACTGGACTGGTTTGCTGTTTTGCTTTGTTTCAGTAGTTGTCTGCTATTTTGGCAGACTGTTGCTGTGAGCTGGGCTGTTACCAAAGGTGTAGGAGCTGAGTTTGGGTACATAGAAAACCAGCTGGGATTGAATGGGTGTTGTATTGGTTTGTTTCTGATTTGGGGATTCTGCATCAGGAGCTGTCTGGGAGTTCAGGAGCTGGACTAAAGATTAGCAGACACAATTTTGTAGCTTAAAATGGTTTTAATCTTCTTGAAGGATTACAACTATTTTTGAAATTTGTAGAACTGTTTGTTCTTTGCTTCTTGTAATTACTTCTTTGATCAATATATTGACAAGAAAAGCAGTACAAAACAGATGTAGTTGTACTCACCTACAAAAATGTTTAAAGAAGTATTAATCTATTGGTCGTGCACAATTGAATCAAAAGCAGAGATCTTATTATTATTACTTTATTTTAATCAAAAGGGAATTTTATTTATTCATAATGCAAAATATTGACAAGAAACGAAGGAAAAGGCACAGACGCCCATCCATACCCAGTAAAAGGTAAAACTAACAATGCAAAGCATAAAATACACAACATCAAACTCTAAAGTTTCAGGAAAAATCCCTATCACAGTCCAAATCCATAAGCACATATCAATAATAAAGAGCTTTTCATCTTTTCCCATTGCTTCAAACAAACCAACACTTAATAATCCAAGACAAAAAGCTGTAGCAGCAACTCCTATTACACCTTATCATCAAAGGCCACCCTCTTTCTGTTTTGCAAAACAAGGAGACTCTGTTGATCAGATGACAGATTGAAGGTAACATCACAAGGCAATCTCAAACCCATCGGAAAATCAACTGAATTCCTACTCTTTATTGCTTGCCCAACAAGAGTATCAGCATCACCCGCATTTGCCTCAGGAAAAATATGCAGCAAGCTATAATCCAGACCACTCAAGAAGCCACTGATATGTGTCAAATAGCTCAAACATGTCCAAGGACACTCACTAATACCCAGAACATCATTCACCAAAATCCTGATTATTGACATTCAATTAAAACTTGCAACAAGTCAAACCATATGCCAAAACAAGCTTCAATCCATTGGACAATGCTCTAAATTCTGCAATGATGTTAGAACACTTCCTATAAAAAAAATGAGGCAGCCACAACAATGCCACCCCATTCATTATGCATCACAGCTCCTCCCCCTGCAATCCCTGGGTTTTTCTTGGAAGCCCCGTCTGTATTAAGCTTCAATGATCCAACACCTTGGCTCCTCCACTGTACCCATGTACATTTAACTTTCACCTTACGAGAAAGGTCAATCTACAAAGCACTCAAGAATTCTTTTCCATTCTCATCATCCAGTGCCCCAACAGCCTTTGTGTCTCCCTCAACTGCCCATCGCAAATTGGGTATCTGCCTCCATTATATCTCTTCACAGCACCATGTTACATCCAGCTCACCCTGTACCCTCTCCAGTATATCACCTACTGTTAAAAATAAATAAATATGGAAATGCAAACCATGTTGGTAATTTGATGAATTTCCCAAAGTAATTAAAAGGTTATAATGTATGAAACCTGATATCAGAGGACATTGTAATTGTAAGTTGGATTCCATTGGTCGGGTTCTTGAGTTTATGGCATGGGATGTTGGGAGCCACCAGGTTGTGAGAAGGGCATGTCATCATGGGGGTCGTCCGCATGGCATGTAAGCTGCGAACACCTACGAATAGTATGTCTAGTGCCACGACATTTACTACATCGTCACAGAGCTATTGGTAGGTTCTTCCGTACACAACCCTGATTGCCTTTGGTTGTCACTGTCTTGGGATCGATGACACCAAATTTTTTGTTCGACACTGTTATTATGTTTGTCATGTGATGTTGACACCTGTCTTGCTTTGCGTGTATCATGACGTTGTTTCATGCGGTTGGTTACTGCAGTTAGTGTTATTCGAAGTTCATGTGCATCCTCAGGCAATTGTGTACCGTAGTAACACATCCGGCTACACATTGACATTAATCTAGCATAGCAACAAGAAATTGATATGGTTGTTGACGTTTCAGGCACAGAGCTTGGTGGGCTAGCGGATTTTGCAGTAATTGTCCATCATTTTAGAATAGTACAAGGAGGGAACTCTGTTATGTGTTCAGTTTTCAAAATTGTTATGATGTGTGAGTAAGGAAGTCCAACAGATTGTAATTTTAGGTAATTACATTTGATGGTGTGAGTCTGATATTCATATATCACATTCCAACTGGATGTTGGTTTTGTGTACTTCGACTAAAAATAACTCGAATGACTACTGTGCTCAATTTTTTGGACCACGAAGAAGAGTCCTTTGGCCTTTATATGATCCCGCGCTTTAAAAAAATTTGACCTGGTATACAGTGAGGCAGTGTGCTGCTCTAAGCAGCGTAGTGTAGTGGTCAACACTGGGGTACTGTTTTCAGAATAATGATTGTCATAGGCTTTGGTCTCTCGGATTCTTGATACACCCCTATCATACTGTCTAACAAATTCATACAAACGAAGCCTTATTTTCAGGAAAATGATTCAAGTAACCATTCAAGCTTTCTGAGCGTTGTGTGCTTTTGATGCTGGCAAAGAAATGACCCCGCAAGAATGCTTAAGCCCATTTCCAATACTTTGTGTACACATCTGATATCCAGTTGTTATCCTCCAGCCCAAATGAATGTACCATTGATTCCCACATAACATCAAATTCCTCAGGTGTACATTGGGAGCACATACATTTCTTGAACTCGCGAAGAAAATTCTCAGCATGAATATATTGAAGCGCATTCCTCTCCAAATGCCAGCTGCATAGCCTGTGTTTTGCGTGTGGAAATATTCTTTCGATTGCGACGGCCATGGCCTTGTCCCATCGGTGACAACTGATATAGGCTTTTTATTATCCATTGCATCTAAAAATGTCTCCAACACGCACGTGTCCACAGTCTCATAAGAAAGTAATGCACATCAAAAAATGCAAGTAGTGTTGTGGTTGTTTACACCTACAAGTATGACAAATGGTTTTTTGTACGCATTGGTGCGGTATGTTGTATCGAATACCAAAACATCACCGAAACATGAATAGTCAACACGGGAAGTTGAATCCGCCCAAAAGAGGCAATTCAATGCATTATCATCTTCAACGTTGTACCTGAAATAAAATAATGGGTCGACCTCCTCTTTCGTGCTCAAGTATGCTAGTGCACCCTCAGCATCCCCATTGATAATTTTCTCTCTTCTTTGGCTGGCAACAGCGTTGTACAAATCCTTTCGCGTAAAGCCAACATTGGAATAACCGCCAGCTTGTTGCAACATAAAATCTCGTATTTGGCTAGTGTGTATTCCAACACTGCGAAGCGTTGTTGCTTGCTCTATGTTTGGGCTTTTAACACATCGGTGGGACCGAAGGAACGACACTCCACTCGGTGGAACCAACGGATGATTATGATCATTCACAAACTCCTTTACTACCCATTTTTTTGACTTTCAGTCATATTTAACGCAAAAAACTGCCAAACAACCAACTCGAGTTATTCCCCTTGGTTCTCGTTCCCTGACATCCCAGTCTAAGTATTTTGCAGCTCGAAACCCTTGTCGCGAACATACCCATTTCCTAGACACCGGGACGTGGTTTTTTATCATATTTTAAGTCATCTTTCCTGACGCTGAAACCTACAAACTTAGTGTATGTGTTATAAAAATTTACCCGCTTCAGCTGCCGAGTTAAACTTCATGTGACTGACTTCTTCAGCCGATAAGTCTTATAAACTTTTTTCCAATTCGACAGCTTCTAAGTTACCCTGACGATGCCCATATTCACCATTAAATGTGCCAAATTCAAAGATATCACTATCTTCAGGTGCTTCATTCAAGTCTATAACAGCATGTTTTCCCTTTTCAACGGTAGTGTGAGACATTTTATGCGTCAAACATAAAATACAATTTTTTTTAATAAAAATATTAATAATATTTTCCAAAAATTGAAAATTATGGGTTGCAATAATGAGAAAAAATTGCAAAATTGACATATATTTATTAAAATAAGTGAATTATTGTAATGAACACTTAATCAAACATTATTCAAATGTATTAAAAATAAATGGCATTCAGAATAGTTGGTATCATGTATTACATACCTATGGAATTTCCTCTCCTCTTATGTAGATGTAGTAATGTATGGTTCCAAGCATGTGTTGTTGGAGTATGATGTCTTGTTGTTGGAGTAGGTTCACGGCAAAATACAAAATGTTAGAGGTTTAGCTGATAATTACAAGTAGGTGAGGGTCAATAACTTCAGGGTGGTATTTGGTTGGTAGCTGTTAATGGTATGTAATAAATTACAATGGTAATTACAATCAAGGTTGCATGGCTTTTCATAAAAATTCTAAACTATTTAACTACAATTGAGCCAATAAATAAACTCATAACAGTTGTAACTCCTATGGGTGTAAGTAAGTACAATGTATATTTAAATTTTTTTTTTGGCTTTGGGATTAAAAAAAAAATCTGGATAACAAATGAATAGTAATTATGCAGATATTATTATATTAATTTTAAAATATGGGTAGGCTCATATTAAAAGGGTTGAATGGAATAACCCGATTCGTTATTTTCGATTGTTGTCGTTTAATTGGGTCGTACATGTGTTGCAAATCCTTCTAAGTCCGTTAACAAATAAAAATAATATATATAACCTTTGGATTCGATTAGTTAAATTTTTTTGTTATTAATATATTATTTTTAATAAATACCAATTATTATTTGATTTGGATGATTTAAATTACGTGTTATGTTGGTTGGAATATAGTAATTTTGTATTTACTTCGTTAAAATTGATAATAAATAAATTATCTTGTCTCAATTTATAACCCCATTTATGTTTATTTGAACAAACAAAACACCCAAAATAATGGCATATTCAAAATTCAAAAAAAAAAAAAAACAACAAAACCGCCCATTTGCCCGCCCAAATCCCCCATCGTTTAACCTCCCTTTTTTCTCTCTTAGTCTACTCCCTCTCTCTCTCTCTCTCTCTCTCTCTCTCTCTTTATCTCTCTCTATTACCACCGACATTTTCAAAACCCCTTCTCTTTTTCCTTCTATGTCTCTTCCCTCTTCCCTCTCACTCTGCATCGCAGTTCGAAGGGTTTGTGGCCCATTCCGCCAACGACAATCTCTCTTCACCACCACCCCACACAACTTTCACATTCGACCTTCTCTCTCACCGTCGATCACTGTCAGATCCAACGCCACAAGTCTCCCAAGTAAGTGTCCATCTTCTCTCCTTATATTGTACACACGCACGTAAACCCTCTCTATCTTTCTCGTATGCGTAACCCACTCACAAACAGTACCCACAACTCACAACACACACATATTGTCGCAGTACCACCCCTCCTTGTTCTCTGTCTGCGCAACCGACCCCCCAAACAATACCCATAGAATATAACACACACACACACACTCTGTTGACAAACCACCCCTATCTCTTACCCCCTGCACAACCATCCCCCAAACAATACCCACAGAATACAACACACACCCTTACCCCAAACCCTCTATTTTTCGTTGCCGCACACAGACGCTTAACACAGCCACACACTTTTGAATTTTGAGAAGTCAGTTTGATAAATGTTTAATTTGATGTGAATTTTACAATTACTTTAGGTGAACTTAGTTTGATTAGATGTAATTTTAAGTTGATTTGATAAGGTTCAATGAATTTTTTAAGTACTTCATGTTTTATTTTGGTGCAAACTTTGCAGTTCTATTAGATTCGATTCAAAATTTTTTGATTGGTCATTGCATTTCTTCTACTTGAATAGATTTGGTTATTGCATCACTCTATGTAACTCTAGTTGTGAATAATTAGCTTGTGTATCTTTCGATTCCAATTTATAAATGATTTTTTTTACTAGTGAGTTCTATTTATGTTGTGAGTCTTATTTGGTCCTTTGATATCTTGCATAACGGTTTAAACTTTTTTATGGTACGAATTAGTGCATTTAACAAATACAGTAATTACAGTAGAGCAATTATATTTGTGCATTTAGCAAAGACAGTATGATTACACTTGTGTTGCCCGTAATTCCTGATTATTTGCATTGAATGGATGTTAATTTTTGTAGGCATACACTAGATGTTCATTACTACACTGAACTTTAGGGCGCATATACCACTTTCTATGATGTCCTGTGATATTTTGCTTACTATTTTCAATCCATTTATAAACAAATCTAATCCAATAAATGGTGTTTTTTAAGGCAGGTTATCGATAATCAGCTATAATCAACTCTGAATCAAACACTATGTACATATATTTGATTGGTGTTATATAATTTTATATGTAATATTTTCAAAGTTGTTATTAAATGACAACAAAATTGCAACAGGGTAAAGAGAAAACAAGTGATTGCTGCTTCCACGGCCGGGAAGAGACAAAGACAAAGACGGGCGGATAGTACAGGCCAGACATCTGCGCAAGTATGTTATACATTGTTACATTCAGTTAGGTAGACCATTTATGCATATAAATAATTAGTTTGGTAAATTTGAAATGTACCATTCCTTATTACTTGTTCCATTACTTAACTTGTACAGGGTTATGTGGTGACAAGATGTTCACCTAAAAGACTAATAAAATTTGTGGAAAATTTAAATGTTGCACAAAAACAAGCCATCAGCGAAATTGGCTTGGGTANAAGTATGTTATACATTGTTACATTCAGTTAGGTAGACCATTTATGCATATAAATAATTAGTTTGGTAAATTTGAAATGTACCATTCCTTATTACTTGTTCCATTACTTAACTTGTACAGGGTTATGTGGTGACAAGATGTTCACCTAAAAGACTAATAAAATTTGTGGAAAATTTAAATGTTGCACAAAAACAAGCCATCAGCGAAATTAGCTTGGGTGGATTGCTAAGCATACAATGCACATATATAAGGCATGATTTGTGTGCATGGTTGGCAGGACGATTTGATCCCCAGAGGTGTGCATTCAACCTATATGGGAAATGGGCGAAGTTCAGCCCCCAAGATGTGATCTACATACTAGGTTTGCACTTTTTCGGTACAAATGTGGTAACAACGGGTGCAAAGGAAAACATTAACAATCTTTCTATTTCTTTATTTAACGGACAACCAGTGATACCTTTGAAACATTTTTCAGAGCACATTAGGTCAATCACAGATGCCTCTGAAGATTTTTTACGGCTATCTGTTTTATATATTATTGCTTGTATGCTTCTTCCTTCAATGCGAAATATGTTAAGTGTTGTGCACTACACTCTGTTGTTGACGTCCCTGCATTACGACTTACTAACTGGTGCAAGTTTGTATTTGATGGAGTCGTTGAAGGAATTCAGAAATTTCAATCTGCCAAACGGGGATCATTGGGTGGTTGTCTTGTATTTTTGATGGTAATTTACATAAAATTCATTTTCTGGTAAAGTGTATGTTGTATACAATGGGTAAATAGTTTCTTATGTTTTTCATTTTTATTTGGTAAGTAGGTATTCTATCTTGAACGAGTTACACCGAGAGGTCAAACCATCATACCTTTGGTTTTTTGTAAGACCCCACAAATTGGAGATTGGGGTGACAGCGATGTAAGTACATACACACTTTTTATTTTTTGTACATACTTTTATGCAATTAATTGATTGTACTGTGATTTCTTATGTAAATTGGTTGGTAGGATTTGCGGGTAAGAATTGGACTACTTGAGGTTGTTGCTGATCGCATTGAAAAAAAATTTGATACTTTTGCAACACAATGCACAACTTCATTTTCTGTGATGGAGAAATGACTAGGAGAGATTGGACATATTCTGTCGCAATTTGTTAATAAATCGGCGTCTCCAAAGGATGTCCCGCATGACATGGGGGAAACAAAGGAGATGATGAAATTGATCTGACAAAGGTGTGCATATTATCCATTGTACTGCTGAAACATTAAATGTGTTATTCAATGTATTACGAAATCTCTTATTGCTGACTTGTTGACGTGAACTACCAAATGCGAATTTTATATTGTAGGTTGACTTGAATGATCCACAAGTTGTAGAGGGACACCAAGCAGAGGAAGTATGATTTATTGATTTTTGTATTAAACATTCAACATGCTTTTTAGGTGAGTGGCACTTTGAACCCCTTATATCATGTCATTGCGTTGTAGATGGTAGATGTGGTGTTCCCCCGAATAACCCATTTCGATGATGATGTGGAGCGCGCAATCTACCTTTACATATTTGATCTAAACTTGTCATCTGAGTATGTGCTTTTGTTCTAATGTATTTGATGCAATATCATCTACTTAAAAATTGGTAATTCTATCATTTTCCAATGCAACAACACATAACATTAATTTTTTTTTTTTTTTGTGCAGTGAGATTCTGGTATCAGTTGGTGATCATGAGCAAGGCACGAGGGGAGTGTTACAGGCCCTTGCCCCATTACAATGGCTTAGTGGAATTGTTCGTGAATGTTACATTTGTTTATTTTATTGTTGTTACGTTAAGAGAATGAAACTAAAATCTCGTGTCAAATATTAATTAAGTCATTGATATGTGTGCATGCGTCGCTCCACAGACGGGACGATGGTACTTACCTACCGTCTTCTCTGTAAGTATATGTTTTCATTTCGTACTATTAGAAGTTACATTAAAAGGGAAAACACAAATACTTTGGACATGTAATGAAAAACAAAGTAATGGGTGTGTGTTCGTGCATTTATGCAACAAAAAGCCATGGCAAGCACCATCACCCGTAGTTAGAGTGCAAGGGTAACTAAAAAACAACAAAATTTTAGTCGCCTCCCTCTCCCTAATTTTACAACAACTACAAAGGTAGTGTATATTGAAAAATTCAATTTATAATAATTTTTAAGTTGATCCATGCTGCATATCAGATTCGTACACCTGGTTTTAGGAATACTTGTTTGTTTGTATGTAGATTTATGTGCCAATGACCGATGACAAATCACATTGGTATCTACTTTTGGTGGATATAGAGGAGAAATAAACTTTCCTACTCGATCCACTACCAATTCCAAAGAGAAACAATATTCACCTCACAAATGCGAAGAGAGTTGTAAGATACTTTTTGTTTTCATTTACCAAAGGATACCTGTTCACAATTTTTTTTTTCCAGGCATTACATTGCAACCTTGTTTTGTAGATTGATGTATTGGACGACATTCTTGCCACTAGGGCTCCGGATTTTGAACACAAATTGGGGATGTGGAAGCTCGTTAAACCAACATGGATGCCCAAACAAGGCAATGGTTTTGATTATGAAATTTTCGTTGTGAAGATGATGCAATCAACACATTTGGGCCAAGGTTTTACAGTAAATGTGAAAAATAATAAACAATCCGTGCCGACACTTTTGAAGTTCTTTAATAAAACTACGATACAAAATTTTGAATTCTAATGGTTCACATTTGTTAAATGCAGGATAAGAGTGCTAACATTCGAAGGGAGGTGGCTGTTACCTTGGTCACTGCTGAGGAGAACAATTTGAGAGATAGAATCATACATATGACACTACACACACCTTGACGTGTGTTTTGGTAAAATTTGGATTCGAGGAAGACACCTATATTAGATGGTGGTGGAGCAACTGTTTACATTCATTGTTTTGGTTCAACTTTATAGTTACATTAATAGATAGATGTATATATAGTTCTGCACAACTCAAATCTTGAATAGAAGTTCTTACGGTGGATATGTATATAGGTAGCTGCATACAAACAAATCAATTGCAGATGATTTGTCATTGCACTAGCAAAAATGTTTAAGCATTTCACAACGTGCTCATAGGAACATTAGTTATGATTGCAGTGTACCAACTGCATGCTTCATGTTATGAAAGCATGTGATTGTTTGTTTTGCTCAATAACTCATGCTATTCTTGTTGTAATCATGCCTGATGTCCCTGAGTTTTAGTGGTGCTGATGTATGTTTTTTGGCTTGGTTGTGTACAAGGAAAAACTAAAGGAAGCTATTTTAATGCTGTGTTCGACCAATTCTACCACCAGAGTGAGTTTGGTAAAGTGTGTACGATCTCCAATGGGACCCTCAAACCTGCACAGATATAGGCTTTCAACCACTTTTGTAATTATCATGAAATTTTTATGTAAAGTACATCAACAGTGGAAGCTTGATCTAAGGATGACAGCTCAATCCCACAATAACAATTTCATTTTTGATACACTGCATGTCCCATAATGATTGGAGATCGGAAGTGCAAGAAGAAGGTTACAAATAATGGAGATTTTAAGTGGCAATGTGATATGTGTGAACAGACCTATCATGAATGTCATTATAGGTATAATCTCCAGTTCCACATACAGGATCACACTGGCTTCAACTGGGTAAATGCATTCCAGGAATTTGGTGAGGAGATCATGGGTATATCTGCAAAAGATTTGTATTACTTGAAATATGAAGAGGAAGATGAATAGTTCTACTACCATGTATGTAAGCTGTAACAGTTGCAGTGGTCCTGGCGATAGCTCTATGCATTGCCCGAGTGTTATGAATGGTGAGGGACAGTCATATGGTGGTAGCTTCAGCAATAGGGTGTCCTTGGGGGGGAGGTGCTAATGTTGGTGCATCTGGTGGGTGGTTCAACTCCAATCAATTTGGGCATTGGGCTAGATATTGACCTGCTAGCTTATGGAAGTTGCAATGTCACACCTGGAAGATATGGTAACGTGTTAATGGTTTCTTAGCCAAGTTGCAGGGAAAGTAATTTTTTGTGAACAGTGTTGTAGGTAGGTTTTGTGACCAATATTCTGACTACGTTGTTGGTTCCTGTAAATTATTTGTCAATTGATTTGTAGTTTTTGGGCGTCATTTCAGTTTCCACTTTCTCCTATACTTATGATTCATTTAATGTTTAGATATATTTTTTTTTATTTTTTGGGGTATCCTTGCTGATTTTTTTGGACCCTTTGGAAATAAATGTGTAGGAGAATATATGAAGATGTGAGGGGATGCTTAAGTGTTGTGGAGGTTGAAAGGAGTTATGGATGAGATTGGGGAGTTTCTTAGTAATTTGTAGTTTTAGTGTAGACATGTGTACAGGGAGGATAATGGTGTAGCTGATTTTTTTGCCTTCTTTGGCAGTTAAGTCTGGTTTGTTTGACGGTGTTTTTCCAGTTGATGGTATTCTTCCATTGGCTACAAGAATGCTTTTGCAGCAACATACAACTCAGGCCTACTGTAAGAACAAGGAGGTTTGTGTTAAATGGGTAGCAGGTTTTTTCTGTGGATTAAGCAGCTGGTTAGAGGTCTTGATAGTGGAAGTGCTTTTGCGCTAAGGTTAATTTGGTCTGACGTCTTCTGGTGAGTCAGGTAGGAGTTGATCTATGGAGGGGTTTTGGAGTGCTGGTTTCTGGATTCCAGTACTGGCAGTCTGTTTCTGCATCAGAAGCTGCATCAAGGTATGGTGTACAGAAGGAGGGTGCTGGTATGCTGATGACCTAGACTGCAGCAGCTGTCCAGGAATTGTTTTAACTGTTGTAATTGTAACAGTTTGATTGTTTTGGTGAAGCTGTAACTGTTTTCTGTTGTAATAGTTACTGGTTTTTTTTATTCTTGTAATTTTGGAGTTTATTCAATAAAATTATTATTTTTATTTTTTTTTAAATTTAATTTTTTTTTAAAACACTGCCATTTCTTTTTCCTTTGTCACAACCTTTGGGTACTCCCCGCCGGAGGAAGGGTGGGCGATGTGATACATTTGGATATGAGTTTCCTTTCTAAAGCCTGAATGCTTTATAAGAGATAGAATAAGGGAGGATTCATTTAGGTGGGTTGGACATATTTATAGACGGTGTATTATGACAATGGTAAGCTACATCAATCTGACAAAATTAATGTACCACACATGGCTGCTGATATTCTGGAACTCAATGCATTTCTCTTTATCTATTTTTGGGTTGACTAGAATGTTTGGTGTGGTGATGACTTGTTTAAACTCATTGCTATGTGCATTCATGAAACAGTGTATATTCCACTGACATGTCCACATTGTTTTCCAATATGTATTCACCAATCAAGATTGTTTTCCAATAAATACATCCTGCCTTACAAAGCACATTCCAGCTCTCACGTAATTTGATTGTAATCCAATATATAAATCTTGCCTAACAAAGCACATTCCACCTCTTAGGCAACATTGTATTTTTCTATATACATAACGCATACCTACTCACATTCCATTCACACTGTGTCTTTCTATTCCACTATATACATACAGCCTACATTCTCACATTCATTGTAACATACTTCTACATTTCCCCGTTTCTATCCGTCGTTCTTGGGCCTTGTGTATGATTTTGTTCTGAACTTTATTGTCAGCATGAGTAGCTAATGAAAATGCAAAGTTCATCCTCATTTCATTAGAATCTTCTTGCGATCAAATGACAACAAGCTGTTAAATTAATGAGCTTTGACGAGGGATATTAACAAACTAACAAATCAAACAATCGCGATATGTCGTAGGTTGCATGTTATAGAGTTCACCGTAATACTAAAGCCTGGAGAAAGCACCGGAGACAAGATCATCTTGACAACAAACATTCCACAATCATATCCATTCCCTTGACATGGGGCCCAAGACGGGGCCGACAAAGTGAATGTTCCCAAAAAAGGTTGGTAGTTATCCTGTGTAGCTTCAAGCACATCGTCTAATTCAAATAGCACATTATGCACATCATTCAGCCGAATAGATATATCGTCACAAGGAAGCAGGTCCAGCAAAAGAGATTTCTGTTCAGTTGCGTTAATGATTCATAGATACCAATGGGAGTTTTTCTTGTTCATCGGGATGTATATCTAAATTTGTTTACACAAACAAACAATGTTGATAAGCATAAATCAAAATAACTAATGTTAGGTCGTTCAAATCAAAACGTATTAACTATATGGTTAATACACACCTTCTCATAGTATGTAAGATCTTTTATGTACTTCCCACTCACAGCACACATAGAATGCAACAATGTTTTTTCATTTCACTGTTACCCACAGCCCAACAAAGTGCCTGTTGCTGAATACAACAAACAAACGTATAATCAACAAATTGTATGTAATTTTTTTAAAATTAAAATAATGTTCTACAAATAAACATAATTTTATTACCGAGTAGATACCACCTTTCTAATCTGGTTTTTGGATTGATCTTATCTTCCTTAGATAACAAATTGTGGGCCAAGTTCACAACCTGTTACGGTCATAGGAAAATACCAAAGTAAAATTCAATTGGTTTAAGTTATTGTAATTAAAAAAAGAAAAAATATATTGGTTGAAAAACACCAAATTAAAGAACCGAATCAAGTAACCACTGTTTTGGTAATAATCTCATGAGGGAATGACGTCCAGCATGGTCATGTTCAAACCTAATTAAAACCTTTCTGTTTTAAAAAAAATAAATTTAAAAAAGTATTACAAAAAAATTAATCATACATGTATTTTCAATCACATATTAATACATATTTTAAAATGTATCAATGTTTACATTTAAAATAAATATGCCTCTTGTCAAGATTCTTGTCAAATATGTAATTCAAAATCAATTGCTTATCTTCAGGATAAAGTACGTCTACATTTTCATATTCCTCAACGTGCTCTGGAATACCCAAAGTAGAATCTGAAATCTGTGTACGAAATCTGTGACATTAAACTACCATTCATGTTTGTCACATAATCAATAATGGAAAAAATCAGACCTTAAGAATTTCAGCAACTGATGCACTATTACAAGGCAATTTCAGTTTGTTAGCAGGATTGTGCGGAGTCTTGTACACATCGATCGATGCCTTGTTGTCATAACAATTCATGTCATAACCGCCCTGTGCATAGAGAAATTGAACATACACATCTAAAAAATATTGGATAATAATAAACGGTGTCATAACCTTATGCATTACTANTGTGCATAGAGAAATTGAACATACACATCTAAAAAATATTGGATAATAATAAACGGTGTCATAACCTTATGCATTACTACTATATGCATGGAATTGTCCAAGCTTGGTTGAATGTGATCCGGGGGATTATTCACCTCCCCCTTGCCCTCTTTCTTATCATCCTTCTTCACCCAACGATGCTGTAGTTGAAGGGAGTAAAGTATAAGTGACGATAATGTATAATGTAATTCATACATTAAGTTTGATATATGTTATACCTTTGGCTGTTCATATGGTGAAATCACATATTTGCTTGGCCTCCTTTTAGAATCTCTTCTTAGCTGCATTGGTGGGAATGACGTTTGAGTGCATGAGTAAGAAGCCTCTTGCATGTCACCAACGTTATTATGTTTGTATTCGTCATTTCTAGTATTTAATGGCCGTCACCATGCCTCTTGGAATGGTTTTGGTGGTGGGGTGCGGACAGCGGCAATGGGTGTCCAAATCCGATAGTCCACATCCACTTCATCACGGGAGTTGGCATTTACATTTTCATTCAAGTCAATTTTATTTTTTTCCTCAACAACTAATCCAACAGTAGCATCATTGTCCATCTCTTGGTAATTTGATGGTTTAGGAAACGATCCACCTATGAACATTTGCATCATGCTAACCATTGAGCCCACCATGCCAATTAGATTAACAATTGCATTCTCCAATCTACACATTCTGGCCTCCCATTCCTGCACATTTACACAATTCATAGCGTGGAAAAAACAATTATACATCAATGTGATATCAGTATCATGGTATATACGTACCGGTGGTTTCTCATCTGATGTCAAAATAGTTTGATTCACTTCATTGGTGGATCGTTTACTATTGTTTGCTGTATCAACTGGTGGGGTTCTATTTATGGTGTCGTCAAACAATTTGCAAGTAACTTCTTGATGCCCTATTCATTTGGACTTATTCAACATGCTTACATTTTTTTTAATTTCCTCATCTCCCCACGCAGCAATTTGAGGGTTGCTCTCACAAGGCGGTTGTTTAACAAACACCCCTTTGGGTGTGACCTGCTCCAGATATACTATCTACATTAAATAATTAAAATAGGTAATTCAGTAAAAGTGTTGTGAAAGAAGCACAACATAAAAATACTAAAAAAATAAATTGATGCCTTACCATAAGAACAAGTAAACATCCACTAACATTTTTTTGATCATGTGTTTGATATTTTCGTACCCCTTCAACCATACCATTAAATACAAATTTCGCCCAATTTCTCTTCCCTATACAAGGAACGTCTACAACAGTGTGAAGATATCTGCTGCTGATTGAAGTACGCATGGTTGGGTATAGAAGATGTCTAATAAGAAATAGCACAAAATATATCCTAAACTCATCCGAAGCCACTTTAAGTGCACAAAGTCTCTCATTCACTTGTCTCAACGGGATATCCTTAACTCCATTGAACAATGAATTCCAAATGCCATTAATTCTTTCACTAGGCCCAGTAGTCTCCACGTCCAACCCTTCATTTCTCAAGCCCATGACACATTCTACATCCATGGCTGATAACTGAATAGCTTCACCGTAGACATTTAATGTCAATGACACAATGTTGAACTGTTCAATCAACCATGCACCTAAACCCCGCTTCAGTTCCCCACATCTGAGGCTCAATATCCCCCAAAACCAAGTTCTTTTATTGTAGCTTTTTGCACATCACCTAAATTTCGTATCATTTTTACAATTTTCCCAGGCAAACACCTTTTACCAAGCATTCCCTTTGATAATTCGTCAAAACAAAGACAGAAAACTCAATTGGAAAGGTGCAGTAAATGTAAACCATGAACATAAAAAGTAACATCAACATTATATTTTTACCCGGACTGTCATTTCCCCAGAATTATCTTTCACACGATCATATTCACTCTTTACATGTTTAGACATTTCTCTGTATTTATGTTTCTCACTATCTGCCATCTTCCTCCATTGGTCAGCCACTTATTTAATTACCTTATGAGTACAAGTTCAATTGGAAGACATTATTAATTTCACTATTCCAAACAATACTTGCTATTTGTAACACAAATTATACCTCGCGTGTGACTTTTTTATCAGCGTTTCCTTTGATATTCTCCATTTGTTACTTACGGTAATGCAAGTACAAAAAATTGGCACATTATCACATTAACATTAACCACAAAATAATTTCACACTACACTACACTAATTTTTCATACTAGAAAAATAGCCATGCACCCGGTGGACGTTGGGCTTTCAAGCCTTTAGCCTTTGACTCCTGGGACCTCTTCCTCCCCTTGGAATATGTACCATATTATGAAGTCTCCAATGTGATGAATCTGAAATATATTCAACAATATAATCATATCTTACATTACAAATATCGCCAAATTGGACTTCCCAAGTCTAGGGGCTTTCTACTACCCTGCAAATAACACATTGTCTATAGCTCAAATAAATAAGAATATGGTACACATAAACTTCTCTAAACCATTCAGAAATCCTTCCCACATACACTCACTCACCAACACATTCATTCACA